GTGTGCCCCTGCCGGGGTGTTTGGGACCGGGCTTAGCGGCTGCTCCAGCCGCGGCTCTGAAACTCCCGTACGTGATGCTGCACGTCTCGCAGGCGCGCTGACCTGGGGATGTTCTCCGGGCTCCCTGGAAGGAGCTGTCCCGGCGTCCAGCCCCGGACGTGTGTTTCTCGGGGGAGGCAGAGCTGCTGTCCCAGCGAGCGCGGGGTGTGCGGCGTGGGGTGCCCGGGGTGTGCAGCGTGGGGTGTGCGGCGTGGGGTGCGTGGGGTGTCGGTGTCGGCCCCAGCGCTGGGGTGTCGGTGTCCATGCAGATCTGGTGCCACCGTCTGGCGGTTGCTGAATCTGAGGGCTCCTGCAGGAGCGGGCGCTGGTTCGGACGTGTCCCCGCTGCAAACCTTGTGAACCCAGCTCCTTCTGAGAAAATACGATGTCTGCGATCTTCTTCAGAGCTAGGCTTTTGATCGCTCGCAAGCTTTTCGCTCGCTTTGGCGAGCTCCCAGGTGAAGGTGCACTGGGATCTGTGCGACCCGCAGGCGTGCTCAGACCTGTGACCTCCCCTTCTTCTCCCTCCCTCCCAGTTTGAAATGCTCACCGGCTCGCTGCCCTTCCAGGGGAAGGATCGCAAGGAGACGATGACCCTCATCCTCAAGTAAGAGGGGTTTCTCTTTCGTGTAGGTACGGGAGGCGAGCTTCTGCTCTTTCACTGAGCGTGGTGCAATTTGGGGGTTCTCGCAACTTAATGGCATTATTTGGCAAGCGGTTTTGTATCAACAGTTAGTCTGAAGGGTGCAGCGTAAATGCCAAACAGATGATTGTACTTCGGGGGTGGAGGTGCTGCAGTCGGCTTGCGGGTTGACGTCTTCAGACCTGCAGCCGATTGCGTAACTTCCCCTCCAGAGCAAAGCTGGGCATGCCGCAGTTCCTCAGCGCCGAGGCACAGAGCCTCCTGCGAGCCCTTTTCAAAAGGAATCCAGCCAACAGGTTAGGTAAGGCATTTTTTTGGCTTCTGAATACACCCGATGCTGTATCGGGGCCTCTCACGCCCTCGTGGGTCAGCAGCATGTTCACACTTGCGCTCGGTTAATGGGCTCGATTAATTACAGCCAGGTTCCCCGTAATACCGGGCTGCGTTGCATACGTGGTAGCCTTCGCTTCGTCGGTGGTTTAACGCAACGCACTCCACGGGTGCCTCTTTCAGGTTCTGGACCAGATGGGGCAGAAGAGATCAAGCGCCATCCTTTCTACTCTACCATTGACTGGAATGTGAGTTTTGGAAATACAAGAGCAAACTTCTCCATCGCTCAGCACCAGTAATGCAGTTCTGCTGGCTGCAGTAGCAGCGCGGTCGTGATGCTTGCAGACTAACCAGCTATGGGAGAGCTACCAGTCCCTGCTCCATCTGTTCCAATAATCCTTCCCGAAACTAAAATTCTGTTTGTCGTGTGGATAACTCTTTCATACCTGAGTTGCCTATGATCTCACCGTGGTTTGAATTTACTCATCTCTCAACAGTGAGGTGCAGGTTTTAATTGGGGTTTGGCATGACACGGATTGTCTTCCACCAAGTGGGAAGGACTCGGGGAGGCATTTCTGGCAAGGAAATACCTTGTTTTGTACAGAGGAGCAGGGCGATAACTGCACCGGCATTTCCCAATTGCTTCTGGCCAACTCCCTACTTTACCACGTCATTTTGTTTCTTCCCTGACTTGGTAAGGGATTTTGAAGATCGGTCTTTCAGTGCTTTCGAGGCACCCAGCAAGCTGCTAGACTGAACCTCCAGCAATGCTAGTAAAGCTTATATCAAATTTTTGCTTCAAGAAGCAATTTAAAAAGGCTGCCGGTGGGAGCGCGGGGATACGAACGTCCTCCCAGGGCATCGCCTCCGGCTGTCCCGGGAGAGAGGGCTGTCGGCAAAGCCCCGGGGGGACTGAGGGGGAGGTGGGAGAGCCTGGCGAGGCAAATGCTTTGTCGGTACTGCTCTTGCAGCGGGGCCACGTACCTACAGAACACTTTTTTTTCTTGATTTAATATATGGTAGAACTTGTAGTGTTTCCCCACAAGCTGACTCAAAAGCACCCCCTTGGCCAAGAAGCCGAGGGAGGACTGCTGAGCTGTAGTTAAATGCTAAGCCACAGAGCTGTTTCTAGTTTCACAAAATCTCTTCTCGGCCTCTCATTCCTAGCAAGGCTTCGCACCCTTCTGAGCGGGTACGTGAGCGTTGACCTGTCGGAGCACTTCTGAGCTGTCTTGTTTTGCAGAAGCTGTACCGCAGGGAAATCAAACCGCCCTTCAAGCCTGCCGTCGGCCAGCCAGATGACACCTTCTATTTTGACACAGAATTTACATCGCGTACACCAAAAGGTTTGTATGAATTCGGGCAAAGCCAAAGTTTCCTGTGTGAGGCGATACTGTACAGCTTCATACTGGTTTGCCGGTGCCAGCAGGGCCAGGTTTGCCTCCTGCCAGCGCTGCCAGCTCCAGATGGTTGCGGCAGCGAGGAGGTGGCCCAGCCGTAGATACGTGGGGTGGTACGGGGTAAGATCAGCGCTGCATGGTGTGGCTCTTGTCTCAAATAAACTAGAGAGGAGCCAGAGCTCCTGGGGAGCGGGGGGAAGGCTTCTGCTCCCGCAGGGCTAGCCCTCTTCAGGCTGCCTCTCAATTTCTG